CTTGTACTGTTTACATCGGCGGCTATTACCTTTAAGGCACCGGCTTCCCGGCACATAGCAACGGCGGTAAGGCCCAGAAGCCCCATGCCTGTTACAAGTACCGTCTTACCGGCTATGCTCCCGGCCAGGCGAAGCGCACCGGCTGTTGTGGCAATGGCGCAGTTGATGGTTGCGGCCACCGGCAATGGCAACTCTTCCGGCAAACGTAGTATAGCAGTTCCCTTTCTCAGTATGCAATATTCTGCCAGCCCGCCATGAAAAGCATCATCACCAGCTATCAGCGCATGACCATACTTAAACAGGTCTGCACCTTTCTGCGGCATCCCTTGCCTTGCACCTGGCGAACAGGGATTACTGGAAAAAACAGACCAGGTAACAAGGTCCCCGATACGCAGTGGCTGACCAGACAAGTCTGTACCACTATGCTGCCCGCCTATTGCTTCCACAGTCCCCACAATCTCATGGCCCAATACCGTAGGACAAGCTTCTTTGCGCACACCGCTATACGTATGCAGGTCGCTGCCACAAATGGTGGTGTACTTATTTTTTACCAGTATTTCATCAGGTGCCAGTTCACGCAGCACTCTTGTCTCTGCCAGCATTGGTTGCTGCGGCCCGTTAAAGACCATTAGCTTTGCCGTTTTCATATTCTTGATATATTTCTTCATTTATCAGCTCCGGTATCGCCACTATATCTTGTTGCTTCCGTCTCAAGAACCACGCTGATCGTTTATTGCTTAGACAGCATCATTCACCCGGTAGCCCGGATAAATGATGCTGTTATTAAGTGTTACTCTGTTATGGATGCTGCACTACAATTGCCTGGTGTGTCAGGCCCTTTGTCGAGCGTAATTCAATATAGTAGATCCCGTCAGGCAATGCTGCTGTATTGATCTCCAGTTTATTTTCCTGCCCTATCAACTGTGCATGCACGCGTTTGCCAAGGTTGTTGTACACAGCTATTGCGCTAACGCCATCCCTGTTATTGTCTATCAGTTCTACCACTACCCTTTCGTTGGCCGGGTTCGGGTAAATACGTGCAGCGGCCTGTCCGCCGGACAATGTTGGTACGCCGGTGGTCATACTATCTGTCTTATAAACAAAAGGACCTTCCCATCCGCTGGTGGCGATGGTAGCCGCACAATTAGACATGATGTAAAAATCATAAGAGGTATTGGGCTGCAGCATATTAAACTGGTGACGTGTGGTTGCGGCATTCTGGTGGATTGCAATAGTTGGATCCGTGAAGGTGCCACTGATACCCCACGCGATTACATAACCCGTAGTAACCATACCATGATCTGTCCACTTCAACGTAATGGAACGGGTGGTGATGCTGTCTGCAAATACATTTTCCGCCTTGGGACAAGGGTTCATCGTTTCAAAATGATAGGGCCCTACCCAGGCACTGGTATTACCGGCACCACATGAATCCTGCACATAAAAATCATAAGAAGTACTGCTGGTCAGGTTATTGATCCTTACATTGTTCACCGCTACTTTATTAGCCACTGAGTCTCCGAAATTAAAACCCGCAGGACCAACCTTTGTATTATGATTGGCGGCAGCAGAGGTCCAGCTAAAGGATGCAGCAGAGGTGTCAGTATTATTAAGCGTTATGCCTGATGGCGGCGGACAGGCCGCTACGCTAAAGTCGGCCAGCAGGTATTGGCGTACACCCAACAGGTTTTTATCGGCAATCACATGTGTGGTGGCATTGTGTACGGATGGCAACTGCGCCCATTGCCCGGACGCATTATCGGGCCGGTTGTACAAATGCAGATTTGCACTGTTGCTGACGGCATTGGGGTAATTATTATAGTCGTATTGTACACGGTATTTTGCATTCACGCTATTGGCTGTAAATACACCAAAGTACTTATCGGTCGTACCTATGTTTGCAATACCCGTCCGAAAATTAGGCACAGCATTAACGGTATAGATATGAACGCCCGGTACGCCCGTGGCAGTAACACTATCAACAGTCAGCATACCCTTCCCTGCAGCTATCATATTTAAGGAGGCACCAGTCCACCCGCTTGCCGGGTAGAGGTAAACACTGGTATCACCCAATGGCGCCGAGCTGATCAT